CTGCATTATTGTAAACCAGACTCGCTGACTACTTGGTATTTTGAGGAAGTCACTTCTATCACTTATATTATGTTCTCTTAAATATTACCACTTTGATTAGATGCAACTTATAGGTGATAGAACTGGGGTTGCTGTTAGAAGAAGTTTTCATATCACGATTTGATTATACTAACTAGTAAAATTTTTATGCAGTTATGAATGTGTGTTTCATTCAGATAACTTGAGAGCTTTCTGATCCATGAAAAAATTGAATAGTCATTATAATTTTTCAGACACGGTTAAAACATTGTGTGAATTCAATTTTCTAAAAGTTCTGTGAAATTTGCAGTGTCTCATAATTGATGAAGCTGACAGGATATTGGAAGCAAATTTTGAGGAAGAAATGAAGCAAATTATTAAGCATCTTCCTAAGGTGAATCATTTAGCTATTTACATTGTTATGTCAGGAATATGATTTTGGATTTTGTCATTTAGTTCATATCTAGAATTTCTGAAAATCAAATGGATGGAGACCAAAACAGTGGTAGTAACATGCTTTATTGATTTTGTTAAGGTATAGTCCTGTTCGATTGACTGTTGGAATATATTTAGTGAACTTGTAATGACTAGTAGTAAAAAGCTTAGTTTTCTTAAGAGCTAGGTTCCATTGGTTAACTGACTTGTTGAACACGTTTCAATTGTTAATGGTTGATTATCAAGCTTCTAAAAAGGGCATATCTGCTTGTTTATTTAATGGTTGATTATTAAGTTACTTGTCTCATAATTTGTCACTAGGGCTTTTCTTGAAAAAAAGTTTAGAGTAGCCAAAAGAGATAATTTAAATGAAAGGGGTGTAGAAGTAAGCTAGAAGTTGAATGTTAGGCTATATCTGCGATTAACCGACTTCGCTTTTTGTAAGTACTAGCAAGCACAGTTGCATTTGTATTTTTGGTTTGTTTGCAGCGTAGAGGAAAAAATGTTATGAAATGTTAGCACATTGTTGGATTTAATAAAACCGGCTATTTTATACTCTTGTCTTGAATTTGTAACTTGGAAGGTGTTTATAGCTTACTAGCTTCCTATTTGATGTGCAGCAAAACAGGCAAACAGCTCTATTTTCAGCTACCCAGACTAAGAAGGTTAGTCCTTCACTCATGTTTTTGTGCCATTTTCCCCTCAAGTTTTATTTGTAGTCCCACATAGGCTAGCATTCAGTATTTTTCAGAAAACCTGTATACCAAGTTTAGTCAAATTCTTATTTAACCATGTGACATTTGTTGCGGCTTTAATTAAATCTGCAGGTTGAGGACCTTGCCCGTTTGTCATTTCAGACAACTCCTATTTATATTGATGTAGATGATGGGAGAAAGAAGGTACGAACATAATCTTTTAGATCGTAAAGTGCACAATCTACTTATCCTTTTGACTTAACTAGACGCTATCATTATTGTAGGTCACTAATGAAGGGCTGCAGCAAGGCTATTGTGTTGTGCATAGTTCAAAGAGATTTGTCCTTTTGTACTCGTTTTTGAAGAGAAACCTGTCCAAGAAAGTGATGGTCTTTTTCTCATCATGTAATTCAGTCAAGTTTCATGCAGAACTTCTTAGATATATTCATGTGGATTGCCTTGATATCCATGGAAAGCAGAAGCAGCAAAAGCGGACCACTACCTTCTTTGACTTCTGCAAAGCAGAAAAGGGAATTCTGCTTTGCACTGATGTTGCCGCTCGTGGACTTGATATTCCTGCCGTGGTATGTTACCTGTTTAGCTGTTGGTTGCCTGTGGTTTTAATTATGTATGATTTTCAATTTTTTACTTGAATGTCTATTATTTAGGTTGTTTTTCCTTTAAAAAATCTATACACAGTTCGTATAGGTGTATCTTAAGTAACTCAGTTTAAACTTGAAGAAGAATCATTATAACTGGAAATTTGTTTTCCACCGTGTAGGATTGGATTCTGCAGTATGATCCTCCGGATGAACCAAAGGTGTGTGCTCTTTATATATATATATTGCTATTCGTATCTTGCTATATACCAGCCATGTTGAGTATTTTGGAATGTTGCTTTTAGGAATATTCATAGAGTTGGTCGAACTGCTCGTGGGGAAGGTGCAAAAGGAAATGCTCTTCTGTTCTTGATCCCAGAGGAACTGCAATTTCTTCGATATCTAAAGGTGCATTATTTATGCGAAATGAGTTCTTATTTTATTTGGAGAGACACAAAGTGGGGCAGGGGGCGGGGACTAAAGCCACTTGGCATTAAGAAACTTTGAGCTATCAAATATTCAGTGCCATTAAGATTTAAATGCTTTTGCGAAGCATTGGAGTATGTAAACATGGCAGCCTGAAATTGGCGGTCAGTCGATCAAAGAACTGATTCTAATTTGTTTTATTTTGGTTCTCTATTTTTGTTGACAGGCGGCAAAAGTTCCTGTTAAGGAATATGAGTTTGATGAGAAGAAGCTGGCCAATGTGCAATCTCATCTGGTAACTTATCGCTTTTTACTCACTACCGTTTCTTGAAATGACAATTTTTAGAGGAGTTTATACTCTGCCTGTAATAATGCAGGAGAAGTTGGTGGCAAACAACTATTATCTAAACAAGTCGGCTAAAGATGCATATCGATCTTACATTTTAGCGTACAATTCACACTCAATGAAAGATATCTTCAATGTGCACCGCCTTGATCTGCAGGTACGAATTTGATCTTTCTTCTGGCATACCAAAGTGTAGGTCTTCATTCTGCATAAGTGTTTCTGCAATGTGTTAGAATCTTAAGTGGATCATTAATGGGTGATGGAACGTCCCGACACAAAGAAATAACCGTGTTAAGCCGACTAACAAGAACAAAAAATTGTTGTTTTCGAGCAGGCTGTTGCAGCTTCCTTCTGCTTTTCTTGCCCTCCGAAGGTTAATCTGAACATAGACAGCAATGCATCCAAATTTAGAAAGAATACACGCAAAGTCGAAGGAACGCGAAACAATTTTAGCGAAACCAATCCATATGGAAGGCAAGGAAGCGAAGACGACAAGCGGCAATTTGTGAGGTATTAACTAAAGTATCATTATAACGACCTTTTTCAAGGCATTGGCAGCTGTATTGGTGAAAGCCGCCGCACCAGTCTACAACAATTTTGCTTATGTACCAGTTGGAAAGGAATGTTTAGGATAGCTTTATTAGTTTCTTCATAAAGTGACAAGTCTATTCATTGAACATCAATGCAGATTCTGGACTTCGAAATGAATCGGTGTTTTTACCTAAATTGTATGTAAATTGTGTTATTCTTGATTAATGATCAGTGTTTAAAAAGGCGCAACTGAGGTTCTCCTAGGCGCTAAGGTGAGGCGATTTCAATGAAGCGCAGCAAGGCGCTGAGGCGTGGAGGCGCAGAAAGTCGCACCCTTTTCAAATTTTTATTTGTCTTTTTTTTTTTTTGTTGCTAAAACCAGTGTTACCAAAAACCCATCACACCAAACCAAAAAAACAGAAACCCATCACAGTAAAAACAAAGAAACAAAGATAGGGGTAAGAGTTTAGTAGGAGAAGGGGCGGTAATGAAGAGGGTGTAAGGGTTGATCTTGCCAGTCGGCGGCGGATTCTTCTGATAGGGATTTTGGTAAAGGAAAAGATAAGATGTCGGCGTAAAGGAAAAGAAAGGAAGATGGAGAAGAGTTAAGTGTGGAAGAGAAAGAGAAAAGTAAAATTAGATCTCACCAAACCCAAACAGCTCTTTTTATTATTGTGTTTCTACTGTTTAATATTATTGGTTTAATTATAAACTTAGTCCTTAAGTTTTATAATAACTAAAGAATTATTAAAAGATATTATATGCTCTCTTTTCTGCTCAATTTTTTTTTTATCTACAATTGATTCTATATGCTCGTCTGCTTTGCTGTTTGTAGGTGGGTAAGCGAAATAATTAGGAAAAAACACAATTCCGATGTCACAGGTTTCGCTTGGCATCTTAATAATGCGTGTTTCCCCCTTCACTGCATTTTGTATATTTTTATCCAATTCTTGGTGTAGTTATAAGGTGACTTTTTTATTCAACTTTATTCTATGATGTTGAAAGTTAACTTATGATAGGATTCATCCATCTTCATGTATTAGGGGGTCTGGTTTGACTCCCATGGTATTACAATGAGAAGAAAGAATCAAGGGAGAATAATTTACAAAAGCTAAAGATGTTTAGGTAGAAACCAGAAGAGATTAGAAGTCTATTTTAATTTGTATTTTATGATCAGTTTTTATCTTCTTAAAGAGATAAGTATTTTGTAGACGAGTTTAGGAAAAAAGAAACCTAGTAAGGTAACACCTAACTAGGGATGGGCATGGATCGGGTTTTTGGTCCACTCGAGAACAAGGGAGCCTCCACCCGAGATCCGATTTGACCCGACCAAAACAAGGTTTCGCCTAACCCGATCCGACCCGAATATATGACTTAGAAACCCGACCCGACCCGAAATAATAAAAAAAATATTTTTATTCAATAAAAACAGTGACTTAATTGAAAAAAATTATATATAGAGGGATATTATTATAATTATTCCTAAATATATAAGGTAAAATTATATATATTTTTCGGAATCTGATATTTTTCACCCTAAATCCGACCCGAATATCACACTTAAAAAACCGACCTGAACCCAATTTTTTTAAAAAAAATCCGATCGGATCAGGTCGGAACCTGTCGGGTTCGGGTTGAGTGCCCATCCCTACACCCATCCATTTTATCCGGTTGTGTTTGCATTGCATGAACCGTTATTTTTTCCGGAAAAACATGTATATCTTTTATTTTTAAAAACTGCGCCTTGCGCCTTGGCTATATAACCCCTATCGCCTAAGTGCGCTTTGTGTTATTTTTAACACTGTTAATGATCCCATCATTCTCTAAAGGAAATACTTTTCAGTGAAGAATACCCCATGATATACGTTCAAAGAGGTAGTCTATGAGCTTTCTGCCAAATATATTTACAGTACAACTTGTTTTGTGAAAAATAAAATTAAATGACAGAACCATACGTACAAATATATGCTCCCGTGGAAGTTTTTGAAAGAACTATCAAATTAAACCACATTCCAGTATAAACAAGAAGAAGCTTCTGCATCCATGATGTGCAGAAATCCTCAGATATTTGAAACTATGTTACATAAATACATGACTTGCAGGAACAATGACTCATCTCGATAGCACACCGAATTTTTTGAGACCGAGGTTTCGGCTTGATCGTCCTTTCCTTTTAACTCATCATGTGATGTGCTGTCGTTACAGTTACAGAGCATTGTTGATCTTGTCTCACCTGTGGATAGAGGCATTCCTGCAGATTTGTCAGCTACCGACCTGGAATGTCCAACTTAACCAACAAAATGCACTCTCTTAAGCTGTAATGGAGTGTCTGGTAGTACCATCATTCCTTCTAAGGTGTATAAGGTTATATTTCTAGAGAAGCTCGATATTCAAGGATGAAGAAAACCCACCTTTATCAAAGAGACACGAGTCTGGAATGTCGGATGCACAATTAGCGGTTTGTGTCGTTTTGAATAGCATAATCTGGAATCTTCATCTTACATGTTGCCAAAACCTTTCCACGGGTTTCCTGAGGCAGTTGTTTCAGAAGGTCCGATATGGCTAATCTGTGCTTCTTCTTTAGTTCATCAACCTCCATTTGCTGATTTAACAACAGAGACTCGAGTCTCTCTGTTATTGCCTTCACTCCTGATTCAGCATCCTTTAATGGCTTACTGTTCTCTTTCGAAAAATGTTTTCTATTAGCACCATCGTCTCTCCCATGACCATCATCGTCTCCGCCATTGTGATGTGTGGACTCAGTGTGAAGTCGTCCAGATGAAGTACTGTTTATTTTACCTCCAATTTCATAGCTATCATGAGATTGTTCATCAAGTTCAACCATAGTATTTGAAGACCTTACAAAATCCACTCGAAAAGCAACATTTGAACCACTGAAACTGGTCAAATAGTTTCCACCAGCTGCCTTGAGTGGCTCAGACCAGAATCTTCGACCAGAAGGTAACCTCTCTGATGAGAGATGGCCCGGAGATGACACCAGCTCATAAGCCAACGGAGACCCATCACCCTTATTTTCAGAGAGATGGTTACTAGAATTTGCAATTTCTCCCAAAGTATCACTAGGAGTTTCTTTTGGAACCCAATCAGGAATATGAGACCGAATTTCCGATTCAATCATTTCGGAAATTGTTGGAATATCTTGATCTGTTAAGTCCAACTCTTCAACCATTTCTCCAGCAACGGCTGTCGTTGTATCTGCTTCAATATCAAAGGGGAAGTGGATGTTGCGGATGTGACCTAGTACCATGTGGAAGCACCTCAGTTTTCAAGAAGAAAAACGAATGCGAATGCGAATGCTAATGAATGAAATATTTTCCTACCTGTAGAATCTGATATCCGTAATTTCAGAAATATCATGTTAACGTCATTCCTCTGACCTTGCACTTTGACATCCACGCCTGTCTCAGATTGAAGATCCTTTGTATTTCCCCTTAAATTAGTCTGATCAGAAGTACTATCTGCATTTATTATGTACAATTGAGGTTGAAAATACTCAAAGCCTTCAATCTCCAGAAAATGCTCTAGAATTCTACCTGAAGATTGGACATTAGCTTGTAAAGAACGACCTACATTGTCATTTTCCTCGGCAGGTTGGAGAAATGGATCCCTTAAAAGATCCTTCGCAGACAAACGATCCGAGGCTTTAGCAAGACATTTTTCGATAAACAACTTCACTCCAGGATCCGCCACTTTCGCCAACGATGCTGGCTTTATTCCCTGCCCAAGGAAGGAACAAATCATGAAGCAAGATGGATAAAGTGTATATTTGATTTCTATACACTGATGGTGAGTAACATGCCTTACCGATGTTACTTTCTTGAATATTTGAGCTGCATTAGCACATTCCACATATGGGTACTCGAAAGTTACTAACTCGAGCAAACACATGCCGAAAGCATAAATATCTACAAGCTCATTGTATTCCTCCTCGTAGAGTTCCGGTGCCATAAACTCGGGTGTACCTACATGACATTAACACTTGCTTTATCATTTGCATTTTAAATCAGCAATAGTTCTGAATCTTGTAGTATTGACAGTAATTAAGGACATGATGATCCCCACCGATAACGCTATGTGCAGAACGGGCCTGGTGAAGAATAGCAGCCAACCCTAGATCTCCGATCTTCACCTCACCTTGGTTACCATTGACAAAGATGTTATCACATTTCAGATCCCTATGAATCACCGGGGGATCGTGACTGTGAAGATAGAGAAGACCCTCCAAGATCTGCCTAGACCATTTCTTCAATGCCCTCAAATCGACATGCTTATGCTTCTTTCGATACCTACACAATCAAACACAAACTTTTCCATAAAACCGAACAATATGGGAAACCTTAAACACATAAAAACAGTCTGAAAATCGAGAAAGACTTACTGCCGCAATGTTCCTGAAGTGAAAATCTCAGTGATGAAGTTGATATGTTCATTTTTGGTATCAACCCAGGAATTGTAAAATTTCATTATGTTCTTATGCTTCAAAGTTTTAAGCAAATGAACTTCCGAATAAAGGCGTTCAATATCTTCCGAATGCCGCAATAGATCCGTGACCTTAACCTGATTCCATGCTACTTCTATACCTTCAAGCTCATCAAATGCCTTGTACCTAAGTTCCCACAACTTAATCAAGGATTCAACAAAAGCTTAAACTCACAAATTAAGCCTCAAAATGCATTCCTATACAACATCCATATATCTTTGAGTTCATCGAATTCTGGAAATCAAGGATTCAACAGTAGCATAAACTCGAAACTTAAGCCTCAAAATGCATTCATCAACCCTAAACCAATAAACCATGAATAAAAAAAGGGAAATCAAAGGATACACTTTCTTGAAAGCTCCTCTTCCTAAAACCTTCTTGTACTGCAAACAATCAATTCAGAAGACAAAGAACAACAGCAACCCATTAAAGGAAACATTAATTAAAACTAACCCGAATGCCAATCAACACCAAATATAGTTCAAAGCCATAGAAAACTAACCCGACCGTAACGACCTGTGGGATCGGCCTCAACGAATTCAGCATCCGAATCATCTTGTTCTTGGTATGACGTTGTCTCTGGCGACATTCTAGAGTCTATTCAAACACACAAGCAAAAGAATTAAGAAAATTCGAAGTTTCTTTTAAAGAGATTTTCTATTTCTATCTCTCCGTGTCTTGGAGAATGAAGGAAAAGAAAAACCGAAGTCGTGGTTCAAAAGAAAAGGTGATGTGATAAAGATTGAAAGGAAGCTGCTCCGTCAAAGAGAAGCGTTTAAATGGCTCAGGCCATTAGCAAACCGACTGACTAATTGACTCGAAAAAATCATCATCATCATCGTCAATACCACCAGCACCATCATTTTTGTTGATTCTATTTTATAATAATCGTGGATGAAGTACACGTTTATACTTCAATTATTTTTTTATTTTTAAAAAATTATAATTAATATTTAGTTTAAATTTTAATTTAATATTTCACATTAAAAAAGTAATAGAACTATTGACATAAATTTTTTTATTTTTCAATAATGATATGATATTACTCTAAGATAACATATCAACATCACCGTTAAATTTTATAGATGAGATAACAATTGAAACTTAAGCTAAACAATAGATATATTTTGAAAAAATAAAATTAGGTACTAAAATTGAACAAGAGTGATAATTTATGTATTATTAATCTTTAGAATAAATTACATAATATTCTCCAATATTTTAGGGTTATTGCATTTCAAACATCAATTTTTAAAATTTATAATATAATCACTAATTTTTAAATGCATTTATAATATGATTACTGTTAAACTGTGTGCTTCATGTTTCAGAAATTAGAACTATATGAAAATGTTTAGTAATCAAAAGAAGTAAAACCAAGAGAAAAAACTTTACCTCTAGGGACGAACTCAAGATTTTATCCTTGAAGACGAATTTATAAAGTTTAGAGGAGAGAAATTATAATGTTTCAGGAGACAATAATAGATTATCAATAAAAATACAAAAAAAAATTAAATATAAGATAATTTAAAAAATTTAGGGGACAACTGTCCCACAACCCTCGATCTATCTTGTTTACCTCTTTAATTGGAGTTACCTCGTCTTCAATCATTTAGTCTAATGACTTTTCTATTGAAGAAATTTCTAAACGACGATAAAAAAAAGTAGTGACATTTATTAATTATAAGAAGAAAAAGTGAGAAATTTAGAAGGTTTTTGAGAATAAAAAGATTTCAACGTGCTATCAATTGTTCTTAATGCATCTGACTATAGTGACCGTATTGCAAGTGAATTAAAAAATTAATGATTGTATTGTTAGTCTTAAAAGTTTGTGATCAAAAGGTAAACATCTTAAAAGTTAAGTGATTCTTTATGTAGTTTACCCTAACATGTACTTTGCAAAATAAATAATTTTGGGGATTTCATCTCGAAAAGTTTGAAGTTTGTCTTTTTCGGAAGAAGCAAAAATAATTTCGAATATAATATCCAAAAAAAATAAAACAGGATAGACAGATAAAATTGTCAAATTCTTCTATCATCCTCTGTATTATAGACAAATTTTAGATTTACTCCTTGTACTCTAATTTGATCATTTTAAGCGTTTAGAATTTTTTCTTAAGAGACAAGAAGTGAGTTATGGAATTTTAAGGGGCAAAAGTATAATTTAATCATTGCTTTAGCTTAGAATTTTATAACTTTTAAAATAATTAAATAAAAAATTATCAATTAAGAGGCTGAAGACACTCAATTTCGTCTGATGCCTATTAATATTATTAGATAATATTACAAGTTATGATTATATGTATAGTGTTATTAATCTTATTATTATTTTATACAGGTCCAAATGTTCCAACAGTCTACTATGGCCCAAACCCATACACGTAACCCAGTTGGAGTTAGGGTTTCCAGAAACCCTAGCAGCTTCCCTCCTTAGCGCCGCAATCCTTGCCTCACGAGTCCTCGCCACCCACGCTTCCCTCAGCCGATCTTCTCGGTGCCATGAAATCCTCAACCTCATCAACATCACGCGTGAAGCAAGAACAAATCATAAGAGAAGACAACAAGCATTAGGATTCTAGTGAAGATAGGATTCTAAATATAGTTTTCTCTTTATACTATAAATAAACATGTAAGTC